TACAACAACAACAATAACAACCCAGTAGAATCCCACAAGTGGGGTCTAAGGAGGGTAGTGTGTACGCAGACCTTACCCCCACCCCGAAGGGGTAGAGAGGCTATTTCCGAAAGACCCTCGGCTCAAGATAATAAAAAGACAAAAGGAGAGAATATTAGATTCATCACGGAGATCATAGGAAAAATAGGAACATAAAATGCAGAAGAAAAATGCAAAGCAAAAATGATGGCTAGTAAGTGGAACCTGCGTCAAAAATAGAAAATAGTAAGAAACGACATTACCCCTAGCTATCTTAGACAAAACCCTACCGGACTAGGCTCACAAAAACACAAAGTAACGCAAGACTCAACTACCTCCTAGCCTACAACCGTAATACTCGACCTCCACAACTTCCTATCAAGTATCATGACCTCGGAAACCTGAAGCCTCGCCATATCCTGCCTGATCACCTCTCCCCAACACTTCTTAGGCCGCCCTCTACCTCTTCTTGTGCCTTCCACAACCAGCCGCTCACACCTCCTTACTGGAGCATTTGGGCTTCTCCTCTGTACATGCCCGAACCATCTGAGCCTCGCTTCCCGCATCTTCTCATCAATGGGAGCCACGTGCACCTTCTCCCGAATATCATCATTTCTAATCTTATCCATCCTAGTGTGCCCGCACATCCACCTTAACATCTTCATTTCTGCTACTTTCATCTTTTGGATATGTGAGTTCTTAACAGGCCAACACTCAGCCCCATACATCATGGCCGGTTTAACCACCGCTTTATAGAGCTTACCTTTGAGTATCATTGGCACTCTCTTGTCGCACAAGACTCCAGATGCTAACCTCCACTTCATCCATCCTACCCCAATATGGTGTGTGACATCCTCGTCGATCTCCCCTCCCCCGTGGATAACCGAACCAAGGTACTTGAAGCTGCCTCTACTTGGGATAACCTGTGACTCAAGCCTCACATCCACGTCCACTTCCCCCAGCTCGGAGCTGAACTTACACTCAAGGTATTCCGTCTTCGTCCTGCTTAGCTTGAAACCCTTAGACTCAAATGTCTGTCTCCAAACTTCCAATCTATCATTAACACCGGCTCGTGACTCGTCAATCAGAACTATGTCATCGGCGAATAGCATGCACCACGACACCTCCCCTTGAATATGGTTTGTTATCGCATCCAACACCAGGGCGAATAAGAACGGACTGAGCGCAGAGCCTTGGTGTAACCCCATCTCAATCGGAAAATGCTCAGAGTCGCCTCTTACTGTCCTAACCCGAGTCTTAGCCCCATAATACATGTCCTTAATTGCCATAATATAAGGAACCGACACACCTTTTGCCTCCAAGCATCTCCAGAGAACTTCTCTAGGAACCTTGTCATACGCTTTTTCCAGGTCAATAAACACCATGTGCAGATCCTTCTTTCTCTCTCTATACAGTTCCACCAACCTCCTAACAAGGTGTATAACTTCTGTGGCGGAACGACCCGGCATGAACCCGAACTGGTTATCGGATACAGACACTGTCATCCTCACCCTCGCTTCAACCACCCTCTCCCATACTTTCATGGTATAACTCAGTAGTTTGATACCCCTATAATTATTGCAACTCTGGATATCACCTTTGTTCTTATACAGTGGAACCACCGTACTCCACCTCTACTCATCTGGCATCCTTTTCGCTTTAAAAATAACATTTAACAACCCAGCCAACCACTCCACACCTGCTCTCCCTACACACTTCCAAAATTCCACTGAATCTCGTGTGGCCCGGTCGCTCTGCCCCTACTCATCTTACGCATAGCCCCCACGACCTCCTCAACCTCGATATGCCTGCAGTGCCCGAAGTCACGGTGACTCTGTGCTCCAATTCGCCTAGCACAATATCACGATCCCCTTTTTCATTGAGAAGTTTATGAAAGTAAGTCCGCCATCTCCTCTTAATTTGGGCATCTTCCACCAGTACTCTACCATCTTCGTCCTTAATGCATCTCACTTGGTCCAAATCTCGAGCCTTCCCCTCTCTCAATTTGGCCAGCCGGAATAACTTCTTCTCCCCGCCTTTTCCCCCCAGTTCCTCGTACATACGACCATAAGCTGCAGTCTTAGCCTCTATGACCGACAATTTAGCTTCCTTCCTAGCTACCTTATATCTCTCCATGCACGCCCGCCTCTCCCCCTCACCTATGCTCCCTACTAACTTTAGGTATGTCGCTTTCTTCGCTTCCACTTTACATTGGACCACTTCATTCCACAACCAATCTCCTTTGTGCCCACCGGAGACACCGGTCGAGACCCCTAGCACCTCTCTCGCAGACTCCCTTATACAGTCTGCTGTCGCTGACCACATAGTGTTCGCGTCCCCACTGCTCCTCCAAGCTCCCATAGCCGACAACCGGCACTCCAACTCTTGGGCTTTATCCTTGGTCAAGGCTCCCCACCTGATTCTTGGTTTACCCCGAGCAGACCTTTTCCTCTTTAACCTAATACCAACATCTAGCACCAAGAGTCTATGCTGCGTCGTGAGTGTCTCACTCGGAATCACCTTGCAGTCCTTGCACAACCCGCTATCACACCTCCTGAGGAGGAGATAGTCAATCTGAGTCTTCGCTACCGCGTTTTGAAAAGTAACCAAATGCTCTTTCCTCTTCGGAAAGTTAGAGTTCGCAATCACCAACCCAAAAGCCTTAGCGAAGTCCAACAGCGGGGTACCTCCTCCGTTCCTCTCCCCAAAACCAAAGCCTCCATGCACCTCGCCATAATCACCCGCGGTCGCCCCAATATGACCATTGAAATCTCCTATGAATAGCTTCTCAACAGGCGGAACCTGTCGCACAATCTCATCTAACCCCTCCCAAAAACGTTGTTTTACCTCCTCATCTATGTATTGTGTGTCTCTCATTGAAAGTACAAATGATCCATTCGGTTTTTTGACTATGGAGGGGGTTTATTGTCCAATTGAAAAATAGCAGGGGTAATTGTAGCGAGTGAAATAGTGGTGTGTCAGTTTGTTAGCGTCGTGCATGGAATATACAGTTATCTGATCAGTGCTACAGCCTACAAATACCCCCGTACGAGCTGTGCAACCTGCTCCTTTATTCAGAATCGAAACCCTAGCTCTTTTGAGCTTATCTTTTCTTTGCCTCTTTTTCTTACCTTTTAAGCTTCTTTTCCTTTTTGTTTGGAGATAGAAATCTGCCATGGCTGATTGGAACCAAGAACTGAAAGGCCTGGAGGAGGGCGTTAGGCGAATGGAGTCGCAGCTTCAGTCATTTGCTGCATACAACAAGCAGCGTCTCGATAAGCTTGAAACAGACCACAACCAGCTAACCTCCATGTTACACTCAATCATTAACAAACCCCCAAAAATTAAACTAAAATTCCACGAATTTGACCTTGAAAATCTAAAGGCCTGGATATTCCGGTGCAACAACCTGTTCGACCTTTGTCAAATTCCAGAGCATAAGAAAATGGCGTATGTTGCCCTGAACATTAAGGGTGAAGCTTATATTTGGTATCAATGCTATTTGAAGGACAATGGAGTATCGGTTACTTGGGAGAAATTCTGCGTTGACATCTGTCAAAGGTTTGGTCCTGAACCCATGGATGTAATGGCCAAATTTAGGAGTCTTGAACAGACTAGAGAAATGGATGTTGAGCAATACCTATTAAGTTTTGAGAAGGTTCAGTGCGACATGATTGATGCCTATCCTGGTTTACAGGAGATGTTCTATTTGTCGTGTTTTATTGCAGGACTGAAGCCAGAAATTAAGACTATGGTGGATATGAAAAACCCAACAAGCATTATTGATGCCTTTAAAGTAGCTAAGCTACAGGAAAAATACCTTATAGCCATAGATGAGAAGGAGGAGGAATGAAGAAGTTATGAATGAACAAGAGCAAAAGTGAGACCCTGCATCTTAGAAGTTAGAAGTCAAGTTAAATTTAGGATAGTTATGAGGATTAAGATGAAATTTTCCTAAAGTCAGTTTTCAGACTTGTTTAGCCAATCTGTATTTTTTTCTTCTTCTCATTTATGTGAATTTAGAGGAGTTTTTGAAAGTACCTGCAGGTTGAAGGGTGAGAACTGAAGCTAGTCTCTGTTTATTTACCCTGTAATAGGTTATAGGTTATCCTCCGAGGAATGCATTTTTAAAAAAGTATCTTATATCAAATAGAGTATGATTATTGATGAATTACCATTTCTCGAGTTTCATATTTTTCTGGTCATTTGGAATTGTGATATTGTCTTTGCTCGTGACATTTTTGGCTGCCCGTATAGTTTTACTTTTTAATAGGTGAAGTAAATTCATCATAAAGCAGCAAGAAGGTTCTATAAATGTACAAGTTCTATAGCTGTCTGAATAATTCTCAATAAAACAGGAAATGACAATTGAGAGAAGAGCAATGCTTCTGAAAGAGTATATAACTAAACAGTGACAGCTTGTTGCCATTGATACAATTGAATAACATTGAGCAGAGAGTTAAATTTATGCATTAGCTAGCATCCACTTTCTGAAATCACCAGTTCATCTTTCAAATCTGTTGGTCCACTTTGACACTTAACTCTTGAAACATTTCCTCTTTTAATATCTGAAAGGAGGAGTGTGGGTTTCTATAACATGTCTGTGCTTTATATGGATGAGTGTTCACATCAGGTACTTGAACAACTTTGAACAATATAGGACAACTTAGTATAGCTTCTTGGTTGTGATGAGGAGAGAGAGCATTATGAACCTTTCAGTGATCTGATGCTGTGTGGGTGATGGGAGAGGAGCTTCCAAAATCTTATCACTAGTTTTCAAGTAAGACTTCACAACTCACAAGTGACATTTTATTTACATTATAAACAACTATTTCCATGATACATTTACTTGACAAGGTGTTGTGACTCGCTAGACTATATACAAGATGATACGATTTGACAACTTTTAGAAACATTTCCTGTACTTCCTCTTATGATTTCTGTCATTACTATATCCATTCTCCATTTCCGAAGATCGTTACTAACACCATGCAGTTCAATATTGCAGTGTGAAGAATAGTAGTCATACCAGTCTCCTTTGCTTATTGCTTTCCTGATAAATCAGCACTTTGTTGCTATATGGTACATCAACAGTCTTCATATAATAGGCTGAACCATTTTCTCCCTCGTATGGTTCTGTCAAAATCTTATGTTGTAGGATAACTTAAGAGGTTCTAGTTGGCAGGAAGATTTCTCAAATGAGGTTTCTCTTCTAACAGTTTGTAATTTGGCACGTCTGAGGCAAGAGAAGACTCAAGGGAGGGGGTATGAATTCTCGCTAAGAAATCAAACGCTTGACATTATTTCCTTTCTTAATATTCCTCTAGTTTCCATGTTGCGCTCATGGCTCCATGCATGTGGAGATTGTGAAGCCAATAATGGCCAAATAATGTTCCTCTGTTTTCTTACTCTCCGGACAAGGAGCTTCTTCCGTTGTCTTATAATGCTGTTCACAGCCTTCAGATAATTGCTCGAGTCATGGTCCCTGAGAATTGTACCACCAGAACCATATGCTGTAGGGTCACTTAGAATTTCTAATGGGTGTGGAGAATTCAGAAAGGCTCTGAAAGCTCTCCTAGTAAATGCACAATGGTTGTTGTCTAGGGTATAAAGGCCACTGCCCGGAGGAAGAAAAGGGTGAGGAGCGGATGATTTCTCATCAGGCTGGATGATGAATATTTTTCCCATTGGAGAGTATAACATTTTCTGCAAAAATAAGCACATGTACCAGGGTGGGTTAGATTGTTACACAAAGCTGGAAGTAACATCTGAGTTGTAAAAATGTAAATGTAACTTTTTTTCTCGGTCACTGGATGGGATTTAAAGTAACTCCAAAATTCTAAATGTAGAAACTATGAAAGAGAGAGCGTGCTCACATTCTTATTCAGACAGGGATGGGATCTGAATGTACTATTCAAACGTTTGAGGACTTGGGCCACATGGTTTGGGTAGACGCATGAAAATGCCCTCGGAACAATGTCTCTATGCATCATCACACATTGCACATGATTCTCATCCAAACCCAAATCATTGAGCACTTTTTGACCACCACAGAACACAAATGGTGATCCAAAAGTGACAACTGGTAGAAGAGAGGATGGTTTAACGACCTTTCGGGTTAGCAGCATTAAGTTGACCAAAAGTGAGAGGCTTCCTCCAAGAGAGTGGCCGGTAAATTGAAACCTTGCCTTGTTGCCAAACCTCTGCAGATGCTCCATTATCTCCGGCATGAATTGGTCATATATTCCTTTTGCAGCTTCATAAATTCCTCGATGAACCAACACATCCATTTCCTGTGAAAATGAAATTATTTGTAGTTGATTCAGTTCATCTTCTCCATAATTATAAATACAAGATTTTCCTATCAAAGAATAAATAGATACAAGATATAAAGAGTCACTACTGATGCCTACCTCAAAGTTGCTGGGTTCAAAGAAGAGATTTGCCTGCCATGATGCCAATGAGTCTGATCCCTGCAGTTCACACATGGATAGCTTGTCAATCTGGATGAAAGTGAATAATACCCACATTTTTCTCGTAAAAAGTATGTTTTCAGTATCCCACTCTATTGGATATCCAATTGTTTATTTGAACTGTTCTATTTCTACACTAGAATTTGTTTACCTGAATAACAAAACAACGAGTATATGTGGTTAAGTCATCACAAATGAACCATTCGCAAGGTGAGGACTGAAGTGATTGAAGGTCCCTTGCTGCCTCCAGTTTTTGTTCCTCATCAGCAGCAACCATTGTTGTCATTGTTGATGCAGCTACATATGCAGCCATCTCTGACTTGTATACCCTTGGGGAAGAGTTATCTTTTTCATCTGTTAAACCCTCTTTCTTGCCTTTCAAGGCCACATCATCAACTGCCAATTTGGATTCACTGCCAAGTGATAATAGGTCCTTAGCACGGGATTGGACATAAGATGCTGCCGAAACTGCTATATCATAAGCAACAGATGGCCGAGGTAGATGCTTATGCTCCGTTTCCTCTGTTTTATCTGTATTAGGCACTGCACTGTCTGATGATGGCACTGGAATACGAGTTGAATCCTTGTCGAACTTGGCTTTGATAGCCATAGCTTCTGCTTTTTTCACCAAGGAAGATGTTACGAAGTCCAGGCCATAGCATCTTTCTAAATCCTCGGGCTGCATATTGGAGGAGTGATTTTCACTTCTTAGACTTGATGAGAACAATTTGAAATAAATACTAGTACTCTAGTAGTAATTAATCAATGATGCCGCAAGCGGGAGAATTTCTTCAAAGGTGGGGTAGATTAAGAATGACCTAAAGGCGTGAATTGCTCTAGGCGCCTCTTGATTAAATGACTATTTAACTGAAGTACAGCTATGGTAAACTTGTTTAACATCAACTAGGAAAAGATGTTTGGGACCGCACTGGGAGGCCGTCGTTGAGCACTGCATATGGCTGTCCAGGTAAATCTACCTACCTTGTTCTGGTTTCAGTGTTATTATGTGGTCTAAGGCTTCCTGTGCAAAGAAATCCCCTAGCCTTGGAAATGAAAGGCAAGTGCCAAATACTGATAAACCATTTACTTCAGATAATGACCTCTAAAAATAACGAGCAAAGCTGAAAGGGGGAAAATCTGGGATCTTTTCTTTGGTAGTTTTCACTATGATGGATCATGGATGTAATGTTCAACAGTTTTCTGTCAATTGTCATGCATGTTATGTCCTTTTTTGCACAGTAAGGAAGGAAGAAAAAAACACACAAAAGAAAAGGCCAACATACACAATGATGAATACTAGTAATAAATAGCTTATCTATATCCATTTTCTGTTTGTTTCCTTTTCATATATAGCGGAGTGGGAGGATAGTGAAGGTAAAGATTGAATCCAGATAATAATGGGCAAATTAGTAATAAAGAAATAATAACCAGCTTTATGCATGTCCAGGACAAGTGAACAAACCTTAATCTCGGGAATAACATAAGCCATGTTGCATAAGAAAGCCAGCTGAGAGAAAAGCTTGGAATCTGACCAGGAGACTCGCCTTAACAACCTGGAGAAGGATTCTCTATCAATGTTCATCTCCCCAGCTGCATCATTGTCATCTTCATAGTCTACTTCACAACCTTCATCCTCGCAATCTCCACCACTATTTTCCATGTCGAGCATCTCTGCAGTGTCATTATTCTTCTGTTTCTCTATCCAATTTCTCCGAAGTTCCACGAGCCTTCGAATCCAATTGGACCTTCTTGTCTCGTCCTCAACCTCCATCCCGTTGTTGTCATGATCATGATCATGGTCAGGATCAGTCTCAAAGATAACGTCATCTATGTTAATATCCTTATTGGTGTCAATATCAAACAAGAACGACCGAAGAGAATCAGGGAGGAATGAACTTGACAACTGAAGTTTAAAGGGACCTCCTGTAGAATGACTACTCTTCAGTTTTGGCTGTGTTGCTGAACTCTGGATACGATTTGCACGACAGCACAGGTGGTTGTCGGAATAGGATCTTCTCATTTGAGTTTTTTCATGAGTGCCTTTGCTCGAAAATGAACTCCGAAAGTTGTCTTGCTCTTTCCACGTATCTTTAGAGCTTTTGGTCACAGGAGAGCTTATTATGGATACACAACTGCATGCCATGATTGCCAATACTTGATCACTGCTTGTGGCGACCTAGAACCTGCACATTAGAGGAGAGAATAAGAAGGATTCTTGGAGGCTTGTTGAATTTAAACAGTAAAGGAGAGGGGTCTTATAAAGAAGCTATTCATGACAAAGTATGGCTTTGTGTACAACGAGGATGATTCCATTTAACGACCGTAAAGCACAAATTTGGAGGACTTTGAACATGACTACTTTATCATAATTAATGTAGCTTGCCTAATCTATCAAAAAGGATATGGGCATAACAGTAATTTGGGCCTGTAGACAGATCTAATTTTAGAGTTCAACACCGTAATCGATGTTTACTTTGGATTCTACAATCGTTTATATTCCTAAACCAAAATTTGACTTTAGATTCCCAAGGACAAATGAATGTCTAAGTTTACTATTAGCATAGTTTATATGGCGAAGTCCAATCTGGGGCTGCCTAATATCAGGACCTTAGGATACCATGATCAGGCCGAACCCCCACATGGCTAGAGAACAAATTTGTGAAAAGAAGGTTTAGATTTTAGCCATCCATGTCGCTGTTGCGTAATCAATGCATGTGGCATCCACATTTTCCTTTTGAAGTTTACACGAAATATTAACTAAGTCCGTACCTTGGTAAGCAACAAAGATTTGTCTTGAGCTATGATGAATTTTTCGATGTAGAATTCTCAATTTTAGCGGTCTCAACTAAGACAGTCACTATATATGCGTCCGTCACACGTATATTCCAAGAGGAAGATGAAAAGAGAATCAGTTTTAAACTGCAGCACTGGAAACAGATTTGAACTTCATTTTTTCATGAAAGCAACGATAAGTCGATAACCTGGAATTTTATCTATTAGGTGCTGGATCAGTCTAAGGAGAAAAAAGGGGCGTGGAGGGTGATGGATGTTGGATCAAAAAATATATACCCTGTTTCTTTTAATCTTCTTATCTTTATGAACTTGCTCCATACTACTCCAATCTCAAATATTAATTGTTTTGACAAATTAAATTTGTTTCAAAATATTTAATGTTGTAAAAACTAAGAAGTCATTTATTAATCTTTTTCTAATATACTCTTACTATTTCAATTAGTGGAGTATTAATTAATTAAATAAAATATTTAAAGAAATATAAATCACAATTTAGAAAAATGCTCTTATAATTAAGTCCATATATAATATCTTTAACGTATACAAACGCCTATAAATAACATGATTCGAATTAAGAGTACTAAAGAGTTACAACAACCTACAAAATCCCAGGCACGTGACTTAATGCAACAGCCCATGAAACCATTTAATGAGAGGATGACACAAAGTAGTGATTTGATGAGAAACTAGAAATTGAAGTTTGGGTATGGGAAGATGGGTCACTCCTAATTTCAACTCCTACATTGACCATATCGTTCATCCTATCCTTCTGCATCCTTGGATTTATCGTCTCTGGTTAAGTCCTGCGATTTGTAGTCCCATAAGTTTCCAAGCTACCACCTAATATATATGTTCACATTACAACGGAAATTCTAGGGTGAAATTTAAAAATAGCCAAATTTACAACTGGTCGTTCAAAAATAGCCCAGTTTCAAAAGTAAACGAAATTTAGCCACTTTTCATGTAAAGATATATCTGAGCGAAAACACTGTTCAAAACCCCGAAAAATACGCCAGTATATTATGCTGGAGTTGCAGCATAAGTATACTTGACCTCCAGCATATTATACTGGAGTTCCAGCATATGTACACTAGAACTCCAGCATAATATGATGGAGTTCCAGCATAAGTACACTAGAACTCCAGCATAATATACTGGAGTTCCAGCAAGTATATTGGTCTAGCATAATATACTGGAGTTTGGAGCACCGGTGCTCCAGTCTCCAGTATATTATACTGGAGCCAGCAAAGTATATCGGTGCAGCATAATATGCTGGAGTTCATACACAGGTGCACCGAACTCCAGTATATTATGCTGGACCGGTCTCTGTTGCAGCAAAATAATGGTTATTTTTCATTGACTTAGTAAACGCTGGCTATTTTTGAATGACCAGTCCGAAAACTGGCTATACCGTGCTATTTTGACAAATTTCGATGCAAAATAGTAATATTACGAATATAATATTCCTTTTGACCATCATAAATGAACACTGCAAAGTACTAGTCCCAACTTAAAAGGAGGCTCCTTAATAAAGTACACCTACTTTTGGAAAGTTCTTGGTTCATTGCTGTAAAGGAGTCGGTTCTTTTGCTACTCCTCGCAAACGCATTCTTCTAATTAAATTTATCTTAGTCAGCAATTCCCGGGTTTCTTTGTCTTTCGTCATTTTTATCGTTCAATTGATAAAACTTGTGGCTCTATTAATTCCTTTGTTTTTTCCTATTTCGTCTCATCCCCTTTACACTGAAACAAAATTTCCGGGTCACACTTGGTTTAGTAATTACTACACTATTTTAGAGGAACAAATAATAGTCAAGCAACTTCAAGAGAGAACATAAAAGTGTATAAAGTCCATTAAAATGTATTATTAATTCTATATTAGTTCGAGTCAGTTTTTGAATTTCAGTATTTATTAGAACCAAAGTATTTTCCCGTCTTTACCCAATGTTAAACTTATTTAGTAGGGGTGTTCAAACCGAACCGGAAAACCGCATCAAACCGAAAAACCAAACCAAACCGATTAAAAAACCCGACTAGGTTTGGTTTGACTTGGTTTGGTATTGAGTAAAAAAACCCGAACCAAACCGATATATAAATATATAAATTTTATTTATATTTTTAAGACTTTGTAGTGATTTTTCTTTAGAAAATGTAGAAATATTTGGGATCCTCTCATGTATTAACCTTGAAAGCGTAAATTAACGAAAAATTATTGTTAGACGACTAAGAAAATAACTATCATGTGTTACTAAAAAATTTCTCCCATTAGAATATTTTAATAGATCATATGTTTGTCAATTTTTTTCATATTTACTAAACATATATTCACTTATCAAAGCTTTATCTATAATTTTAATAACGTAAGATTGAAATAATATTCATGTAACAAAAAAATCCGAAAACCCGAAAAGCCCGACAAAACTGAACCAATCCAAACCGATATAATTGGTTTGGTTTGGTTTTGATAGAAACCGAACCAATCCGGTCCATGTACACCCCTACTTATTAGAATAATATATACCTTTCTAACTAAAACTAATTACTAGCCTATCCATCCCTAGTTTTGTTTGACCATCTCATAATCTTTCCTGCCCATTTTAAAGATCCACAATCATGTAAATACCATCATGAACCTCCATCGACATTGCCAAGAGTACGACACCGTGATAATCTTTTTTTCAATTGATTATTAGTCATTATCACATAAAAATAATGGATGTAATGTCAAATCTGAAAAAAATAAAATTGAAACTCCATATGAATGAGTTCAAAATGCCAGATCTAATTTTTCATGGTATTTTACTGTTGAAATTCGTTAGTTATTATTCTTGGATGTGTAGAATATGCCTTTGAAGCTAATTTTCAGAGACTTACTGTAAAAAAAATTAAATCCACCATTGAAGGATCTTGAAGCTTGAAACTCATAACTTGATCTGTTTGAGTTTTTAATTGTTTTGATCCGATCCTACATGGGGTTTGTTTGAAAAGTTGATTGGAGGTTGTAGATAAAGTTTAAGTCAATTTGGTGGAGATTTTGCAATAGATTTTAGAAATTTGGGTTGAAATATAATTGAACTAGCGAAGAAGACGAATTTGTATTGTATACCCAAATAGTACACAAATATACCATTTTGGTATACAGTTTATTCTCACATATACCATTACGGTATACAATATAATATAATAGTATATTGTTATAATTTGGTCCTTTTTAAACTTTTCCATTGGGTCCTTTTTACTTTTAAAAAAAAATTTCAACGGATTTCTCATGTTTTTCAAAAAATTTCTTAAGCCAAAACATTTAGTTTGAATATAGATTGGAGGTTGTGGCTGAAGTTTGAGTCAGTTTGATAAAATTTTTTAGAAATATTTGAAATTTAGGTCAAAAATGAGTTGAGCTAACGAAGAAGACGAATTTGTACTGTATACCAAAATGGTGTAAAATTATACTATTTTGGTATACAATTCATTCCAACAGCATAATGTAATAGCATACTGTTTTAATTTGGTTCTTTTTATTTTTCTTGAAAATTTTCGTTGGGTCATCTTTTAACTTTTCAACGGAGTTCTCGTATTTTTAAATTTTTTTTCCTTAAACCAAACTATTTAGTTTTAACATTGATGAGAGGTTGTGGTTAAAGTTAGAGTCAAATTGGTGAAAATCCTGGAGTTGATTTTTAAAATTTAGGATGAAATTGAGTTGAACTAGAGAAGAAGACTAATTTTTTACTATATACCAAAATAACATACTATATACCATTTGAATTGGCGAAAAAGAATTTGTACAATATACTAAAATGCTATACTATATACTATTTTGATATACAGTTCATTCCAACTGTATACTATATAATGTAACAGTATACTGTTATAATTTGGTTGTTTTATAATTTTTTGAATTTTTTATTGAGTTCTTTTTCAAGAGAGTTCTTATATTTTTTTTAAATTTTTTTTCTTAAACCAAAATATCTAGTTTGGAATATTTGATTGGAGGTTGTGGCTAATGTTTAAGTCAATTTGATGAAATTTCTGGAGTAGATTTTTAAAATTTAGCTTGAAAATTGAGTTGAACTATCGAAAAAGACTAATTTGAACTATATACCAAAACATTATACTATAGATCATTTGGTATATAATATTTATTTCAAAGTGTATAATTTATTGCGCTGGATTAACGGAGAAGAATTTGTACTGTATACCAAAATAATATACTATATATCATTTTGGCATACAGTTTATTCTAACGATATACTATTATAGTATACTATGTAACAGTACTATTACAATTTGGTCCTTTTAGAATTTTTTGAAATTTTTATTGAGTTCTTTATCAACTTTTCCATCGAGTTCTCATATTTTTTTTTAAACTTTTTTCTTCAACCAAAATATTTAGTTTGAAGTATTTGATCGGAGGTTGTGGCTAAAGTTTGAGTCAATTTGGTAAAAATTCTATAGCAGTTTTTTTTAAATTTTGGTTGAAATTGAGTTGATCTAGCGAAGAAGATCAATTTGTACTATATATAAAAATAAAAAAACTATATACCATTTTGGTATATAATATTTATTTCAATAGTGTATAATTTATTGCAACACCATACTATTACAACATATGGTATACTGTAACAATGTAGTTAATTTGATATTTTTTAAATTTTCAAAAAAAAAAAGGGTCCTTTTTCAATTTTCTAGCAGGGTTCTCGATATCATACACCATGTCAGTATATGATATATAACATATGGGTGTCATAGTATACTGCGATAATATACTTCAACTGCTACTAAAATTATTTTTGATATACTATATGCTAAAGTAATTTATTTTCTAATAATTGATAAATAAAAAATACAAATAAATAAAAATAACAAAAATAAAGGAGCCAAAAATATATGCAAAATTAGATTATGTAAAAAAGATAATAAAAATTGATTTGAAATAATAATAAATGAAATTAAAAAAAAATGAAAGCAAGAAAGAGAAGAGAAAACAGTTATAATGTATAAGTTGTTCTATTAATTTTTGAACAAAAAATGTATATTATACCAGTTATATTAAAAAGTGAACAAATATTTACTATATAAGTTATCTTTTCTTATTGTATAAAAAAAAGAATTATAATAGAAAAAGAGCAATAAAATAAAATAAATGAAATTAGATAATGAAGACAAAAGAAAATAAAAGAATAAAAAGGAGTTAAATGAAATTCGAAATGGAACAAGAAATAAAGAAAATAAACAAAAGGAACGAAAAAAAAAATAAAAAAAAATAAAGGAGTCAAAATTGAGTGTGAAATTAAATTACGTAATCATAATAATATGATCTGGACAAAAAATAAATGAACAAAAAAGGAGAAAAAAGAAAAAAATATATGAAAAAAAGGAGGAAAAAGTAAAGGAGAAAAGGAAGAAAAGGAGGGAAAAAAAGAAGAAAAGAAGCAGAGAACAAAAAAGAAAAGGAGAAAAAGAGGAAATTACTCACAAAAGCTATCACGGGTAGGAAATGTAATTAGTTTGATGGGTAGAAAAGTAAATAGGTAGTGAAAGGTAAATAATTTTGTTTTTGTAGTAACTGTGTCATTCACCCTATTTATTGTGCTATAGTCAAACCCATATCATTCTAATAATAAATAATTAATCAATTAACGATAAAGACATTTGCCATAAATCAGCCTTCACCTATGCTTTGCTTTGTCCACTTGGTTCTGTTTTAAGTACTACTTTTGTTTGCAAGATATTTCTGTTACTTTTGTGACAACTCTCTTTATTATGGCAGTTAAGCACCTTGCAATTCTGATTGCTGCTCAACTACTTAAAGAAATAACGCTTAGTAATGGTTCAAAAGTAGGTTCTAACTCCAGCTCTATAATTAGACTTCCTTTTGCTTTTTTGTTATAAATTTTATAAAAGGGAAATCAACGTATTTTTCAAATAAATCAACTAAAGTAGAGTTTAAATCTAGAAAATTTGTTTCTCAAAAGGTACTTAATTATATTTAATTTCACTCCGGAAGTTGATTAAATTGCCCCCCCAAGCAGAACAGGGCACATAAATAAACATAGCGAGAGTACTCATTTGCAAGATTAAATAAGTGGATTAAGCTTCGGTATTTAATTTGAGATGAGTTTATCTCAGGTTTAAATTTGATTTGAGAAATAAAGGATAATTAATCTCGGAATTAAATTTGAAATGAGTTTATCCCACATTTGCTTGGGATAAAATCGTAATATAACTAGTATTGGAATTGTAGTGTTATTTTTATCTATATGAGAGCGTGAGATAGAGAGGGTGAGATAACAATCTCTGTATAACTAATTCCGGAATAATTAATCCCGGGATCACTTGTTTCGCTACTAAACGAACTATACGATGTATGGCGTTATTGAAGTGAACAATCAGTGGCGGAGCCACATTCAAAAAGAGGTGTCAAATGGCACCCCTTCGCTAGAAAATTATAATGTATTGTTAGATAAAATTTTTTGTTTTATTTATATTTAATATACATTGACTCCCTTTGATTTTTTATGTATTTAATTTTTTATATTTTGACACCCTTAGTGAAAACCTGTCTCCGCCATTGTGAACAATGTACCAGCGAACTATAACAGCATTTAAGAACAATACACCATCCACATTTACTCCAAACATTGACCACAAAGAACAAACTAAAGAAAGAACAGGTTTTTGTCTTTTCTGAACAATTCAATGTATCAGTCAATATTGAAAAATATGAGAATTACTATATCAGTCAATGTTGAGAAATCATATTTTCACTCGATAGTAAAAAATAATAATTGAAGTTACTATGAAGCAAAAGAGAAATAAATACCTGGAAATTGTCAATATGATTAACGATTCCACACGACTTCTAGAGTTTTTTCCAGGTCATGAAATCAGATATCGAAGTCCCGATCAGAAAGCCACCGGAAAAGAGAAACCAAATGCCGTCTAATTCCGAAACTATTTTATACATAAATCCAATCGCCACGTTGAACAGAGAGCAGCAAAAACAGAGGAAACCTCTGATCACTCCGATCAATCGTCTCTGCCGACTGCCGGAAAACGTTCGAGAAATGGAGTCACTTTCGTCGGAGCAAAAGCCTAACTCCAAATGTGAACGCGTCTGTGAAAGGGGAAAAGATTTAGTGCATTTCCGGCTCAAATTAATAATGGGTGAGAAGCTCATGCATCCAGCATTTACTCCAAAAATCTACCACAACAAACGAAACTTAACATACTAATGAATGTTGTATTTTTTTTCCGAAACAAATGAAAAAAGAGAAGGTAGAATTAAAAGCAACAAAATAAATGATCTAACATACTATGCGATAGCCGGTACCACCCTTGGTCTTGGAGCTACTTCAAGGCCGATTAAATCAGACTCCAAAACTTCAATTTCCAAATTTCTTTTTATGTATAAACAAATGTCAATGCGTACCACTGCAATGAATCCTATTAGAAATCTAAAATTAAATGTACTTGAACCAAAAGTTGTTCAAGTGCTGAGAAAGGTGAAATTATTTGGTAAATTTTCATATGGTGAGAATGTCGTGAACTTGCTGAGAGAACACATGAACACCAAGATCTTCACTCTCTCTTTGCTAAGAACATATAATTAAAAGTTCGAGAGAGTGAGATCTGGGGTAGTGTTGTGGTGTCTGTAAGGGTATTATATAAGGGGCTTTGGCAAATGGCAGGGTGGAATCACAAAAACCAGCCTCACAGAATCTTGTCACGTGGTATTTGAGTCCATCTTTCCTTTGAGAATCTTCACCTCCATTTGACATTTTTAACCTTGGCATTAAGGCCATTTAATTTCCTCATATATTTGTCATTTTTATTTTCGACATTCAAATGAAGCCATTTTTAGTTAATTTTTAAAATGTATTCTTTTGTTATTTTTGTTTGAGAAAACTTTTGTTGGGCACATGCCCATGTTGTCCGGCCAAAGGCCCAATGACCTAATCCTATTCTCTTTTGGTTTCCAATCCTATTTGGAATTGGATTCGGTTTATTCCTATTTTGAGTGGGTTTTGGAATTAAGAGAAAGCACCACTCATGATCTATAAATAGGACAACCTTGGAGAATTATTCTATGCTCATTGATACAAGTCTTTGAAAGACTTAAGCACATAAGAGTGGGTTTTGAGAGAGCTTTCATCAAGAGAGAAGAGACAAAAAAGTATTTGTTTTGCGGCAGATTTTTATTCCGACCAGCCAACTTCAAATCACGTTTTTCGATTCGTTAACTGTTGGATCGGGCTAAAATTTTGACTGAGTGTTCGTAACATCTTGGTCTTAGATTTGAACGGTGGAGATCGGATTTGGAAGCTCGTAGCATCTGATTTCGAGCCTCGAACAGCAGCTTCGTTTTGTGAATTATACTCTTTCTTCAATTGATTAGTTGTTGCTCTTGTTGGTCCGTGTTTGGCCCTTGTTGTGTAGCCAATTTGGAGAACTTTTGTAACCCTCTTATTGTTATAGTGGAGATTTTTGGATGTTTGTGATCCCGTGGTTTTTACATTCGATTTGAAGGGTTTTCCACGTTAAAATTTGGTGTTCTTTATCTTCTTTATTTTCGAGTTTGCCTCTTCCTCGACATAACAACTTTTACATAGTACTTGTAATACATGGATGCAATTTCTGAATCCGTAAAGTCAAATTCTAAAAAGAGTGCATCAGTTGAATTAGTAGCCGATAAGCAAAAAATTGTCAATCGTATCGGAAGGTTAATGTCGATATAATCATATGTTGTCACTAACAAAGATTGGAGACCAAGAAATAAATCAGTAATATTTGTATAACTTCAAATTTTCACTTGTTATTTACAAATTTTTTCACAAAACTAAACCATTTTACAGAAAGCTTTATATCGTTTCTTGCTCATTGAGCTCGTGAGATTGAACCTTTAACCATGCAAAAGCTCCTTTTGATGACAAAGAGAATGAATGTTTTCAGCACTCGCACTTGCTCGTGACATCAAACCTTACCATGCAAAAGCATCTTTACAATGACAAAGACACATATCAATATGTACGGGATCAACATAGTCTCATATGATCTTTTCCTTTTCAAATTAAGTACTGTATGTACTTTGATTTATACAGAAATTAAGACAAGAGTTTAAATATTTTCACAAATTCCTCTTTTAAGTCGCTCCGAATGAAAGGATAAAAGAAATATGCATTGTCCACCGTGAGTGTCCTAATTATGATCAGCGCCCGGGATATTTCTATATTGATCAACCTGCATATTGAAGATGCTATGAGGAATATTATTTTTAGTTCAACGTATTTATTGTATATTCAAATTAAATCACGTTTAGAAGTGGGAAAATAAAAATAAAAATAGGAAATAGAAAAGGGGTATTTTAGTCAGGAAACAACAAATTAAACTCTGACAGCGGAGAAATATTTATATATTGAGAAAATGACATACTAATTCCAGTTCAGACAATAAAGTTTAGTTAAAGTGAGTGCCAAATGTGCGGTTGCATGCAGCGGAACACCGGTGTCTCTCGCCACCCGGCTACAGAAGTACAGTTGCCCTTTTTCCACAGTTTCACACACATTTTCCCCAGCAGCGAGCCAAATGCCCAGAAAACAAACAAAAAGAAGCAAAACCACTTACTTTGTCTCTCTCAGAAACCATGCAATGACTCTCCGATGAAAACGTGTCACCCCCCATTGGATCTTTGTAAAAACGAAACTCCTAGTTCAATGAATCCTCTCTGCATTTCAGTGATTGAACATCATGTTCACTTATCGCTGAAATGTTTCAGCTATCACTTCCAAGACATATTGTTTATTTCTTGGTAGTAGCGTACATAAACAATATGTACGCTAAAACATTTCACATGAAATGGATCCACATAGAGAATTGTGGTGCTCAAGCACTCATTGCCCATGATATCGAATATATAATTTTATAGACAATTTCACGCGTGATTTCGAGTTTGATTCTTATGTAGTGCACTTTGACTTTCTTTTTCGTCTCTCTTTTACATGGCTTTCCCTTTTGTTCTTAGCTTTGTCGTTTTTCCTTTTTTCAATTCATGTAGTTCATCGTGGCACAAAAAGAAAATATCTTTAATTTACCACCACCAAATTTGAACGCCTGTATTGTGATTTGGAATCCTCACAATAATTAATGTATATTCAAGAAAACATGGATATTCATATTTTTTGTCATTCAATCTATGTTTTATCCGTATTAAATATGAGTGGTTCAGAAATTTTATCCGTGTTGTCTAAAACGTATTCAATCCGTCCATATCAATCCGACTCCACCCGCCATTTACTAGCATGAATTAATGAAGAAATCTACAATCTACAATCAAAGAGAGAAGTTGAAATCTGAGAATTTTGAGGAAATTGAACAAGAGCTCAGCTCTGTACATACGTATGTCCAATTAAGCTAAGAAGAGAGGAAGCTACAGTATTTGTACAGTATTTAACTAACACTAACTGACTTGACAGCTGTACTCCACTAATTCTAATACTAACTGCTAATACTAACTAACACTATGGTTAAGTTAACTTAACTAAGGTTAGCTACTAATATTCTTTACACCCCCCTCAAGCTAGGACTAGGAAAAATGTTGAGTAGACCTAGCTTGGACAGTAGATAAGAGTGCTGAATGCGACCAAGTCCCTTTGTGAGTATGTCAGCTTCATGCTCAGCAGTAGGGCAGTAGAGAGGAGACACAAGACCATGTTGAATCTTTTCTCGAATAAAATGGCAATCAATGTCAATGTGCTTCGTACATTCATGAAATACAGGATTAGCAGCAATGGCAAGGGCTGATTTGCTGTTACTGTAGATAGGCACAGGTGAATTATGATCCACTCTCAGCTCCTTGAGTAAACCAATGATCCAAATAATCTCTGCAACTGTGGATGCTAGGCTGCGATATTCAGCTTCTGCTGAGCTTCGAGAAATGGTGGACTGCTTCTTGGATTTCCAAGAAATCAAGGAAGAACCAAGCTTTACAAAGTAACCTGTGACTGACTTTCGTGTATTGGGACATGCAGCCCAGTCTGCATCACAAAATGCTGAAAGTGATTCAGAGCACTTAGCAGCCATGAAGATTCCTAGACCAGGACTATTTTTGATATATTTAACCACCTTGAGTGCAGCTTCCATATGAGAGACCTTAGGATTATGCATGAATTGGCTCAAGCTCTGAACAACAAAGGATATATCTGGTCTTGTAACAGTCAAATAAAGAAGCTTCCCCAAAAGCCTTTGATATGGCCCTGGATCAGTAAATAATGTGTCATCAGAGGTTCCTGCATGAGTGTCAAATTCAGCAGTAGTTAGCCTTACATTTGGCTCCATAGGACAAGAAACAGGTTTGTAGTTTGCTAGCCCCATCTCAGCTATGAGCTCCAAAGCATACTTCCGTTGATGCATCAGTATATCATAAAAGAAAATACTTAAGCTCTCCCAGGTCTTTGATCATAAAAGAGGCTTTCAAATCATCCTTAGTTTGTTGAATCATGATGAGATTATTTCCAGTAATAAGTAGGTCATCAACATAGACAAGAACTACCACCATGTCATTCCCTGATCTCTTGATGAACAAAGAATAATCCAAATGGCTCTGTTGAAAGCCAGACTCCACTAAGGCTGATGTGAGTTTGAGATTCCACTGTCTTGACGCCTGCTTAAGTCCATAGAGGGACTTAAGCAATTTGCAGACCTTGAATTCTGTCTTTTGTCCATTAAACCCTTGAGGTACCTCCATATATACCTCCTCTGATAGGTCTCCTTGCAAAAAAGCATTGCATACATCCATTTGATGGATGAACCATTGCCTTGAAGCTGCAATAGACAATACACTCCTGACAGTAACCATTTTTACCACAGGTGAAAAGGTTTCTTGGTAATCTAAACCTTCTCTTTAGACTTATACCCTTTGGCCACCAATCTAAGCTTTTGAACCGTTTTCAATTTTCTCCTTGATGACCTTTANATTTCGATCTTATACACCCACTTGCTATCCTATTGCCTTCTGTACCTTGTAGGCTAAAGGTATACTAGTTTCCCAAGTTTTATTGTCTTCCAAAGCTTTGATTTCTACCTGCATTGCTTCTACCCATCTTTTGTCCTTCACTGCCTCTGAATATGAGGTAGGTTCCAGTTCCACTAAAAAATTTGCCAGATAGCTTTGATATCTTGAAGAGATCCCCTCATATCCAATCACCTCTGAAATAGGATACTGGCAGCAACTTGTAGACTTTTTCTTGTCATCTCTGACATAATCCTTAAGCCATATGGGAGGCTTAGACACCCTTATGGATTTTCTAGGTTCCCCATCATCAGGCAAACTAATAGGATCACCAGTACCACTCATACTGTTGTACTCAACAGGATATGAAGTATCCTGCTTAACTGGATCAACTGTGGTTGGAGTATAAGAGTGTGGCATAATGGTTCTCTCAATATGTGTATCAACAGTAGGGCCAACTGCTCTCAGTTCTTCATGGTTAATTAGCTTGATTTTCATGGTATCAGAGCTTTGATCGAGTGATTCTAGGGAATTTCTTCGCGGAATTGAAGAGAATTAGAGAGAATTTACTCAAGCTCGAAAAGCTTTAACCCTAATTTTGTGATCTATCAATAATGGCACCTGCAGAGAATTCAACTGATAATGTGAACAATGGAAACAATACGAGCATCGGAACGATAACTAGCTCGATTGTGTTAGATCATAATCATCCTCTCTACTTGCATGCATCTGATGGTCCGGGATCGATGTTAGTGGGACTCATTTTAACAGGTATGGAGAATTACTCTCTTTGGAGTCGCGCAATGAAAGTAGCGTTGTTAGGGAAAAATAAATTGTGTTTAGTTGATGGATCAACATCGAAAGAGGATTTTGGTCCAAATTTAGGAAGTCAATGGGATCGTTGTAATGCGATTGTGACTTCATGGCTCATGAGCAATGTGAGCAGAGATCTGGTAACAGGAGTGCTGTTTTCTTCGAATGCACAGAAGGTGTGGGCTGCTTTCAAAGAACGTTTTGACAAAGTAAATGCGTCGAGATTGTATTACTTGTATAAGGAAATATTCACCCTAACACAGGGGATTTCGTCAGTATCAGTTTATTTTACCAAGCTAAAAGATCTTTGGGCAGAATATGATTCCATACTGCCACCACCTATAACAGCCACTGAGTATATTGAACAATTGGAGTATCAGCGATTATTGCAATTTCTGATGGGGTTAAATGACAGTTTTGAGCAAGCAAGGAGTCAGATTCTGTTAATGGCAAGCTTGCCATCTATAGATAAGGCTTATGCTATGGTAGTTCAGGAAGAAAACAGGAAATCCTTTACTGGTAGTACATATGGGCATAATGATCCTACTGCACTGTTTACTGCTCAAGCTATGTCTAAGCCAAGAAGAAACTATAGCTTAGAATGTGACTATTGTCACATGAAAGGTCACACTAGGAGTGGATGCTATAAACTGGTGAAATGTGAAGTTTGTAGCAAGACAGGGCACTTGAAGGAGAATTGTTACAAGGTCATTGGATATCCTTCTGATTTCAAGCAAAAAAAGAAAGTAAAAGCAGTAATGATAGATGGATCTGGACAGCATGGAACAACTGGACAGAATGGAGCTATAGCCTATGTTGAATCAGCTCAGTTCTTCACTAAAGAACAGTACAATCAATTGCTGCAATTGCTGAACAAAGGCTCTGATACCATGAAGAAATCTACAATCTACAATCAAAGAGAGAAGTTGAAATCTGAGAATTTTGAGGAAATTGAACAAGAGCTCAGCTCTGTACAACGTATGTCCAATTAAGCTAAGAAGAGAGGAAGCTACAGTATTTGTACAGTATTTAACTAACACTAACTGACTTGACAGCTGTACTCCACTAATTCTAATACTAACTGCTAATATTGGATATCCTTCTGATTTCAAGCAAAAAAAGAAAGTAAATGCAGTTATGATAGATGGATCTGGACAGCATGGAACAACTGGACAGAATGGAGCTATAGCCAATGCTGAATCAGCTCAGTTCTTCACTAAAGAACAGTACAATCAATTGCTGCAATTGCTGAACAAAGGCTCTGATACTATGAAGAAATCTACAATCTACAATCAAAGAGAGAAGTTGAAATCTGAGAATTTTGAGGAAATTGAACAAGAGCTAAGCTCTATACATACGTATGTCCAATTAAGCTAAGAAGAGAGGAAGCTACAGTATTTGTACAATATTTAACTAACACTAACTGACTTGATAGCTGTACTCCACTAATTCTAATACTAACTGCTAATACTAACTAACACTATGGTTAAGTTAACTTAACTAAGGTTAGCTACTAATATTCTTTACAATTAATAGTGAGCACACATTACTTTAAAATGCTGGATCCGCCACGATGAAGGAGAATCAAATAACATCCCTAATAAAAGATGTCTAAACTGTTCACCATGCTAAATCAACTTATATTTAAAATGTTGTTGTTTATAAATGTAATTTAATTTGTGCTTTGTTTGGATGGCAAAGGGTAAGAAAAGAAACTGAAATTAAGGAAAAAACTAAAAGGAAATGGTATGTATATTATTGCATTTCTCTTGGGGTAGAACGAGACTACGAGAGAAAATTAACTCAAGAACACCACAACCTTTGGTTAGTAATGCACAATGTAATTGAAGTACCTGCGATACTGAATATTCTGACAAAATCGAGCTATTCAATGCTCAAATAAATATGTTGAGATCTAGAACCAGTTGATCGAGTTAGGGAGAAGAAATGGAAAGTTGAGCTGAGCAGAGAAGAATAAACTCATTTCATACAATGAAATCAGCTAACTCTTTGTGTACAGAAGCTATGTATATATACATGTATATCTAACTAACTGTAACTAACTTCCACTAACTACTTCTATTAACTTAGCTGGTGACTGCTGTCACCTAAGATCTTAACCGCCTAACAGAATAAGCTAGAGGAGCTGCTTGACAGTTATGGCTCATACTCGATTCTTCAACACCCTTCCTCAAGCTGATGGTTAAAACACACCTTTCAACCCCAGCTTGGATAGTAGATAATCAAGTTGTGGCTTTCCCAGACTCTTGGTCAGTAGATCAGCTTGTTGTTCCTTTGTAGAAACATAGTGTGTCTTTACTATTCCTTGAATAATTTTTTCTCTAACAAAGTGACAATCTATGTCAATGTGTTTTGTGTGTTCATGGAATATGGGGTTGGCTGCAATCTGGATTGCAGCTTTGCTGTCACGGTATAGATCAATAGGCACTTCAACCTCAACTCCTAATACTTTGTATAGACCTATTAACCAGGTTAATTCAGCCACTGCTGAAGCCATGCTTCTGAACTCTGCTTCTGCAGAACTCCTTGCCAAAATGTCTTGCTTCTTCGACTTCCAAGAGACTAAGGCATTTCCAAACTTCACTAGATAGCCTGTAACAAACTTTCTAGTCTGCAAACGACCTCCCCAGTCTGAGTCATAGTAGGCTTTTGGTTTTCCAGAGCTTTCAGAGGGCATCAACAATCGTAAATCAGGTGCATTCTTGATGTACCTTACTACTCTTAGTGCTGCTTCCATATGAGATTGCTTGGGCTTATGCATAAACTGGCTAAGGACCTGAACAGCAAAGGCAATGTCTGCTCTGGTCATTGTCAAATACAAAAGTCTCCTACTAGCCTTTGATATTAACTAGCATCAGATAGCAGATGATCTGTATCTGCATTGTCCTTGTTTGTGCTTTGAGTGTTGATGAAGTTGTCATAGTCTGCAAAGGTGAGCTTTTGATTGTGCTCTAATGGAGCACTAGCAAGTCTAGCTCCTCCAAGTCCCAGCTTAACAATTAGCTCTAGAGCATATTTTCTCTGATTCATGATAATACCCTCCCTTGATCTGGCAAACTCATTGCCCAAGAAAAACTTGAGCTCACCAAGATATTTCATCTTGAACTTGAGTTGCAGATCACATCTAGTCTGCATAATAAGCTGAGGACAACTCGCTGTAACCAAAAGGTCATCAACGTATACTAAGACAAGGACCAGTTTGTCCTGCACTTTCTTAGTGAATAAGGAGTAATCAAAATGACTTTTAGTGAATCCAAGCTTCAGCAAAGCATCAGTAAGCTTCTTATTCCATTGTCGTGGTGCCTGTTTGAGGCCATATAATGACTTGTGTAATCTACAGACTTTGCTTGTCCCTCCTGGGAAGAAAAACCTTGTGGGATTTCCATGTACACCTCTTCAAGCAAATCCCCTTGAAGAAAGGCGTTGTGAACATCCATTTGGAACATGCGCCAATGCTTAGCTGCTGCAACTGCTATAACTGACCTAACTGTGGCCATCTTGGCCACAGGGGAGAAAGTTTCTGTATAGTCCAACCCTTCTTGCTGGTTGTAACCTTTAGCCACTAGCCTTGCTTTGTATCTTTCTACTGCTCCTAAGGCTTTGTATTTAACTTTAAAAACCAATTTGCATCCAATAGACACCTTTCCATCTGGCAAATCAACAATGCTCCAAGTCTTGTTCTCCTCTAATGCTGTGATTTCTGACTTCATAGCAGCAATCTATTTAGGATTCTGAACTGCTTCATTGTAGGAGTGTGGTTCAATACTGGATGAGTAGGCACTAAGTGCAGAACTATAGGCAGAAGAGATGTTGTATCGTACATAGTCTGATTTGGGATAACAACAGTTGGACTTCCCAAGAGTTGGAACCACAAAGTCATTCATCCACAGAGGTGGTTTGGACACTCTTAGAGATTTTCTACTAGGTTCAGATACTTCATGATGAGGCACTAGTACTAAAGTCTCAGTAGAAGACTCTACATCTGGTGATGTACTGGTGTTTGCTGATGGGTT